TTTTAATTATGAGAAAGATTTAATACAATATTTTTTATATATAATTATAGTCTTATGATAAATTAAATAGTTTAAATTTAAATTAAAAGTAAGATTTATAAAAATAAATATGTGTTTTTTTATATATTTTGTTAATAATTTTTTTTTTATTTTATATTCTTTTTATTTTTAATTTTTTTTTGTTTTAATAATTATAAATTTATGAAATTTTTTGAGTTTTTTATTTTTGTATTTGAATAATTTATATAATTTTTTATTTTATTATTATGTTTCATTTTTTTTTTTTTTATTATTATTTTTTATTTACAAGAATTACAAAATTTATAACAATTTTTTCAAAATGAAAAAAATGTTTTATAAATGCTATTAAGTATAACTTTTCTCGAAAAGATAAATAATTTAATTTATTAGATAAATATAAAATAACATAATTTATAAAAATATACAATTAAAATATTAACTATAGAATTTCATATGAAAATATTTTTATAGATTTACTGAAAATACTGTTTAGTGTTGTAAATAAACTAATACTAAACTATTTTAAATAAATTTTTGTATAAAAAAAAGTAAATATATTTAAATATTATGTGGATTATTTTATTAACTATTTATAATTTTAAAATTTTTAGCATTAAGTATATTATTCAATTAAATATAATTACTTAATTTATATAATTTTGGTTTTCAAATATATTTTTTGTTCATGAGTTTATTGATTATTTCATTTATATTGATTTTTATTTATTACAACATTATATTATAGACTAAATATATATATTTATTAAAATCAATATATATATTATATTTTATTTATAAAATTAAAAAAAATAGTTTATATATATATATATATTTATTTTCTAAAGTAATTATTTCAATTCCATTATTATTAACATATTTTTAATAAAATTTAATTAATTTTTTAATTTTCGGATATTAAATGTGATATTTTAAAATTTTATTCTTATTACTTTTTATAATGTTTTATTTTTTTCTGTATTTTTTTTCAACAAAAAAAATGCCATAATCCATCCATCTTTAATCATCTTTTTTTTTTTTTTTTTTGTATAGAAGTTTTTTAAAAAGATTACATTAAATATAAAAAATAATAATATTAAAAATTAATATATAATTCTTTCTTATTGTATTATTTGACCCTTATAAATTTTACTTTCTTTACTTTTAGGTTCTTGAAATTATAACTATTATTAAAATTATTATAATTATTGTTTTTATTATTATTAATTTTATATTTGAATAGATTATATTTATTATGTATTATCAAGGAGTTTTTCTTTACATTTTTTATATTTTCTTTTATAATTTTTAAAAAGTTTTTCAATTTATTAATTTTATTTTTTAAGTTCCTCAATAAAGCTATTCGATTCTTATAATTATTCATTCAATTATTAATTTTAAGTAAGTAAATTATTATTGTTATTTTTAAGCATATTATTTTACTAAATAAAAATATCTTTTTCTTATGAATTCTACTTAAATAGATTAAGTTATTATTAAACATTTTATAAATCATTATATAAAGAATTAATATTATCTTATAATATTTTAATTTCATTTAAATAATTTATTTCTTTTTCATTACTTTTTTAGATTTATTTATTTAATTCTTAAATTATAAGATTTTTATCATTCATTTATTCATATAAATTATCCTTTTTCTTATCTTATATTATTTAATTTTAAATGAATATATTCTATTATTTTAAAATTTCGTTCTTGCGAATCTGTTCATCATATTTTGTATTTAATTATTCTAATTATTAATTGTATTTTTCTATTGTATTATTAAAATTTAATTCTTGTTTGGGTTTTTTTAAAGGTTACAAAAAAAACTACATTAAATTTTTATTTTTAACTATTAAAAAAATGCGAAGAAGTACTAATTTTTAATAATACAATATTCTTTAGTTATGTTATTTATTATTTTTTTGTATTTTTTAATCTTTTAAATCATTTTATTCTTGTATTTTTTATAACTTTTCTTATACTTTTTAATATTCTTCTTATTATTAAATTAAATGTTCTTATAAATTTTAGCTTTCTTAACATTTTGCTTCATATTTTTATTAAAAAATATTTTTTCTTAAATCATTATTCTTAATTATTTATTTAGTTTATTTATATCATTTAAATATAAATTTTCTTTATTTTATTCCTCCTAACTATATTAATTAAAAGAAGAATTTAAAGATGCTACTGCTTATTTTCTTATTACAAATACAGGATTTTTGTAGCACATATTTTTATTTAATCTTTTTTTTTGATTTTAACTGATAAATATATACTTTTTGTGTAAAAATAAATAATTAAACAAAAAATTTTTATTTTAATTAAATAAAACTATTTAATTATACATATTAATAGATAATGTATTGAAATAAAACAAAATATATCTAAATTTATATTATAATAATCAATAATTAAATTATATATAAATTTTGAAAATTAAATTATTTATTAATTAAAAAAAATAAAAAAATATATGCAAATATATATAAATAATTAATATATTAATATGAGATATCTAAATTTTTTTATTAAAATAAAGAATTTATTAAGTTAACTTTAACTTTTGATTTGTTTTTAATTTCAAATAGAAAATTTACATTATATTTAAAAATTATTATAGATTAGATAAATTACGATATAATATTTGTCAATAATTTTAAAATTTCTAAAAAAAAAAAAAAAAAAAAAATCTAAATAAATATTTTTCTATATAAAAGGATTTATTAAAAAGATTTATATATAAATCTAATATTATATTTATATAAAAAATCAATTTTTTAATTATTAAATTTTATTTGTATTTTCATCTTCTTCTTCTAATTAAATTAATAAATAATAAATATTAAATAAAAAAAGATATTTACTTTTTTATTAAATTTCTTTTTATTTTATTAATTAGTTTATTTATTCTTTATTTAAATTAGTTCCATGAAGCTTCCTTAAGCTTTCAATATCTTAACTACTAATACTATTATAATTTTGCTTTGATTTTAACATGTTTTAAATACTATTTTTATTAACTCTATTATTATTCATAATAAAACTACTATTGCTATTTTAATTATTACTGTTTTATATTTTCATTTTCATTCCACATAAATAAAAGCGGTTTCTTGCTCTTTCTATTCTTTATATTTTTTATTAGTTTTTAAATATTTGTCCTTAAAAATTTATGTTTTATGCTAATTTTTTATTTATTCCTATTTCACGTTATTACAAAAATTACTGTTTCGCATATATATATGGAATATTATATATAATATCACGCTCTTCTTAATATTTTGAATGCTTCATTAACATAAATTTATTATTTAAAATATTTTTATCACTTTGTTTTTCTTAAGTGGGTTCTTTTTGTAAAACATTTTAAAAACTTAATTTCATTTTGTTATTTATTATATTAAGAGAATGTATTCCTTCATCTAAAATATGATAAATCTATTAATAATATATTAGAAAAAATTAATAATCAAAAAAAAAAAATCAATTTTAATTTTAATTTTTCTAAAAAAAATAATTTCATTTCTTTATTTTTACATATTTTTGTATTTTTTTAATTTTTAAAAAATAATTTTTACAAGTTTTTACTTAAATTAATTTTTCATTAAAAGTATGAATATCATTTAATTTATAAATATTAAACGAGTACATGACTTTTTTTATCATTTCATATCCAATTTATAATTCATTACTATTAACAAGTACTTAAAAAATAAACTTTATTATTTATTATATAATAAATATATAATTAAACAAAATAGATATGATATTTACTTAATTAGTAACATATAGAACTGATGTTATTCCTAATTCAATATTATAATGTTCTTCTATATTATTTTATTATTCTTTTTTAATTTTTTTTTTTAATATTATTAATTGTTAAATTAAAAAATCAAATAACCAAACATAGTCAATATTTTTTCATAAACTTTTTTTGATAAATATTATGCAGTTGCAAAAGGAAAAACTTAATTTGTAACAATTAATAAATTGCTTCCTTGTTTATTTTAAATAATTATTGCATAAACATTATTCATTTAATAATAAAAAAAAAAAAACTTATAATAATCAAAATAGATATAAATAATATAAATTTTAATATTGTTTCTTATGTTAAAAATAAAAAATATATATGTTTATATAATAAAACTTAATATATAAATAAAAATTATCAGTTTTTAGTATTTTTCTATTACCTACCATTAAATTAAAAGAATAAGGATTATAATATTTGGATAATAATTTAAAATTAATTTTCAAAGCAATATAAAATAATTTTATATTTTTAATTATTTTTTATTTAATTTTAATCATTATGCTACAATACACATTTTTTATATTATTCATCTAATTTATATTAATTTTATGAATAATAATCTCTTTTATATTAGAATAAATTAGATGATTTTGAATATTATTATTACTTCTTTAAAAATATCAAAATTAAAAAAACTTTATATAAAAGAGTTAATTAAAAAACAAAAATAAACTAAATAAAAAAAATAAGATATATATTAATACTAAAAAATATATATTTATTATGTGTGAAAATTTAAAAAATCTAAAATTATATAATATAATAAAATATTCTTAATTAAATAAAAAAAAAAGTCATTATTTTTTTTAATATTAAATTCTTTCTTTTTTCCATTCCCCAGCAATTATATACTTAAGTAAAAAATTAAAAATAAAATAAGGTATTCTCAAATAAATTTCAGTTTAAATTTTATGATTCCAATGTCCAGCAGTGACATTTTCATATCCTAAATCTTTCAAAGCCCATTATGCACATTAATTGCTTGTAATAGTCATTAAATCAGGTTTTCGTTCACAAATCATTTTAGTTGAAACTTCGCTAGGATTTAAACACATAATATCAATTTCTGGATATTCATAACTTAAACATTAAGTAAAAACATTAATGAAAGCTTTAGTACCACAATATACGTTAAAATATAAAGTAGGAAGTATACCAGCAAAAGAACCTACATTAAGAATAGCAGATTTTTATTTTTTTTCTTATAATCTTTTCTAAAATCTTTTAATGAAATGGTATGTAAGATTTAAAGTGGGCATTATGTTAACTTTTATTTATTCTATAATTACTTCTTTTGGTATTAAATGAAAAGAATCGAAAAAGTCTATTCCTGCATTATTTATGAGCATCGAAATATCATAATTTTGAGTTTATTATATTATTTTATCAAAAAACTCAGGTTCAAAGGAATTTACTAAATCGGCTTGAATTGTTATTATTTTTATTCTTTAATTTTCTTTTTGGAGCTCTTTTTTTACTTATTCAAGTTTTAAAGGATTTCTACCTAATAATATAACATTTAGATTTTATTTTATAATTTCTAAAGCAAATTATTTACCAATACCTTTTATATTTTTATATTTTTTATATTATTTTCGATTTACCATCAGTAGCTCCTGTTATTAGTGCATAAGAATCCTTTCCATATCTTTATTCAAAATTTTTTTATTTACGGAAAAGTAGTTTTATTATAAAATGAGAAAATTCAAATATATGTTTTAATACAATTAAAAGACCAATAAAATAGATTATATTATCTATAGTTAATTCCATATTTTTATTTATTTTTTATTATATTAATATTATATAATTTTTATTAACTATAAAAATCGCTTTAATTTTAATATTTTAGTCTATGCATCTTATAATTATATAATGCTTTTAGGCTAATTTTATAAATAAAATAAAAAAATATAAAATAATTAGAATTTTAAAAAATTAGTATTATTGTTTCTATATATAAAAATTAATTTTTATTAAAAAAAAAAAAAAAAGTATAGATTATATTTTATATATAGTTTTAAAGAAAAAAAATTAATAAATATATTTTACAATAAATAAAAATAATTAATTATAAATGAAAAAATATTTTATTTATTAAGATATAAATTCATTAGAAAAAATAAAAAAAATAAAATATATAATTTGAATCTTTTTATATTTTTAAGTTTTATAATTTTTTTATTTATTTATAAATATTATTTAAGATTTATAATAATAATTTTTAAAATTTCTTATTATTTATTAACTAAAAAAATAAATACAATATTTTAAATCTTTTAAAACATATTTATTTTTTTCATTTGAAACAAATAAATATATATTTAAAGATTAATAACATCATATAATAATATTTTATTTTTATAAATATATAAAATAATATATTTAATTTTTAAACAAAAGTGTTACATATTATACTTATTTAAAAATAATTATGAATTGAAAATTTAATAATAATTTAATATAAATAAAATGAATTATTTCTTCAATATAAAAGAATACATTATAAATAATATTCTATTAATTATAAAAAGTTCGATTTCTTAAAAAATAATTATTATATATAAAATTATATAAAATAAATAAATTTTATGTTTAAAATTTTATTGAGTTATAATAATCAAATATTTATAAAATTTATATATATATACAATTAAAATTAATAAATTTGATATAAGAATTATGTATTAAAAAAATAATACGTATATAAAAACAAATAAGAATATTTAAAAAAAATAATAACTTAATTTATTTAAGAATATTAATTTAAATATAAAAATAATATTTTTTATATATTTAAAAAAATTCTAACCATATTTAAAAAAAATAATCTCATTTTAAATTTTTATTTATAATATTTGATTTATATTTTATTTAGATTATTTTCTATATTTTATTGTAAATTATATATTTTATAAAGCTTTATCTAAAATTTTTAATTTTTAATTTTTGAATAAAAGTATTAATAGATTTATTTTCCTGTATATATTTTTGTTTAGTTTATAATAATTAATTCAAAAAAATATACTAGAATAAATTAAAGAATGCGATTTTAAAATATTTTCTAATCGAAAAATAAGAAAAACACAAAGCAAAATTTATATAAAAATAATTTTTAAAATAATAATAAAAAAATATTCATTTATAAAAAATATAAAATATCAAATTAATTATTAATTTTTAAAAATGAATTAATTTTTTTTATTATTCTATTATTTTATTTTTATTATTTTTTTTAAAAAAAAAAATAGAAAAGTAAACAAAATAAAATTATCTATAAAATTAAAAAAAAAAAGTATATAATAATAAAAAATATAAACAAAAAATAATAAAAAATAAAAAAATAACTAAAAATAATAATAAAAAAAGAATATATAAATGACAAATATTCTAGATATTTAATAAAAAAATCTAATTTAATTTATCTGTGAAGAAATGTAGACAAATTAATAATATATTTTCAATATAGATACACAAATGTATAATAATAATACACAAATCACCTTATATAAATTAATAGAAGACCAACCTATATTATAAAGTTTTTTATATTAACGTGAAATATATATAAAAGGCTTATTTATAGGTATATTCCCATCTGAATAATTAAAATAAGTTAATATGCAAATAAATATGTAATAAATAAATGAAATATAAATATAATTTATTAACACTAATAATGTTCTTAAAAATATATTTGATAAATACAATATTTTTAAATAAAGCTATGCTCTATACTAACCTTATTCAGATTTAGATAAAAATAATCAAGATTTAGCTAAAGCTAATAAAATAAACAAAAACATAATCATATAACCTTAAAGTTAATAATAAAATAAAGATTTTGGGGTTGAAAATTCCATTAATACTTTAAAATCACTTAATATATCTTCAGATAGTTCCTTTGTTTCGAAAAAAGTTTCGAATACAATTTAAATTGTTAATACGAAAAATGGATATACTGAATTCTAACCTTTTATTTTTTAGAAAAAAGAACAATAGGAGACACTTTCTGATTCATTTATTGATTTAAATTAATAAGAAAATTAAAGTTAAAAAAAATTAAATTAAAACATAAATAGAAAAGGATATATGGAAAAACTTAAAATAAAATGGGAAAAAATTATTGCGAAGAAACTAAGAATTTATTCAGTACAACTATTTCTAAATTAATAAATTATTTGAAAGAAAATGGAATAAAATTGAATAAATAATAAGAAAAAATAAATTCTTTGACTTTTTTTAAGGCCTTTCTAATAGAAATAAGCTCAGATTTAAAATTACTTGAAAATATATAATAATTAAGTTAAAAATTTTTCTAATATTTTTTCATGGTTAATAACCTTAATCATAAAAACATAAATACTTGTTTTATTAATATTAAGTACAGAGGAGATTTTTAAGTATTTGTTAATAATTTTTTGGCTTTTAATAGTATAAAATAGATACATTATTATGTTAATAAATGATATTTATATTATATTAAAAAAAATTATTTGTTTTTTATAAAAAAATTCAATCTTTTTTTTATTTTTAAAAATAAAATTTACATATTATTTTTTCTAAATTAATAATTAAAAAAATCATTTCAAACTTTAATAATATTAATTTATATTAACAAGACTTTTATTTGAATAATTTTTTAAATAAGACTTATATTTTTATATTTAATTTGATTTATATTGATCAACTATTTTCGTTTAAATCTTTAATTAATTATTTAAAATAGTACTTTATTCATATTATTAATTTGAGTTTTTTTATTTCGATAAATATTTATATAATGTTTAATTTTATCTGGATTAAAGTTTTTCAAAAAAATTAAGTTTTTTTATATTTTTAAATTAATTTTTTAAATAAAATTAATATTTCCATTTTTTTCATATTTTTCTTATATATTACTATTAGATTTTTAATTATTCTTATTTTCTTTAAGTACTATTGAACTTATCTTTTAATTTTTTTTATTATTTACTTCTAAATTACATTAAGATTAATTTCTAAGAGAAGTATTTGAACTTAATTTAAATTTAACTAATAAGCTATTTCTATGATTATTCTCCAATTATTTAATTTAAATAGATTCATTTTATTTAAAAGACTATTTGGTTTATTGTCTAGATAAAACACATTCATTTTATTTACATAAATAACCAAAATCATTATTTTTTTATGTTTAAAATTCATTTATTTTTTTTATTTAACATAGGCTTTATCGAATATCTTACATTTATTTGCTATTTTTCTATAAAGGAGTAGAAATATTTTTTAATTTATTTATATTTATTATTTATTATTAGTTTTTTTCATCTTTATGTTAAAATTAAAATTCTATTTGTTATTATTAATTTATTTAATTTTAGTTTTAAAAAATAGGCAAGAATTAATCAATTAGTTAAAGTTTTTTATTAATTTAACCTGTTCTTGTACAGTAACAACTTCTTCTTCTAAAATATGTTTAATCCGTATTAAATTTAATATATAAAGGTAATTTTTATTTTTCTTCAAGACTTTTTTATCCTAAAATAAAAAATAATAATTATATATAAAAATATTTA